AGAGCTGAGCAAGTTTAATTAAGATATTGAGAGTGGTTGTTTTAGTAAATTAATGTGTTATTAAAGATTTTAACTGACAAATTTTTAGTTAAGTTTTGTGTAAGTGATTGACGGAAAGAGTTATATCGAAAGCAATAAATTTCTTAATTTAAGTATATTATATTTTAGGGTGCTTTTAGGCATCTCTCATGAGAGATACATCTCCTGCAGGGAGATATATATCCCAACCATCCCAACCAATCAAAAACCGCAAATATCATGTGACACGATCCTAAAGTACTAGACATATTTGTACTATTCAGACCTTTATTTTACCAATCAACTTCGGACAAAAAAAAACCAAAAAAATACTTCGTTCTACTATCGTGCTATGTATTTAATTTTTTTACGCCCCACACGGCTAATTTATTTTAATTTGTCATATTTACATCATACAGTATTTAATTAAACGTCAGCGTGTAACAATTATAAATTTTATTAAAAAAAAAAAAAAAAAAACGCACAACATCAACAAAACCCAAAACCAAGAATATCGTCACACCGACGATAACATTAACAACGGTGACTTCACTAATACTTGTTGCCGATTTCACATCACAAAGTATGCAACGAATATCGACAAACCCCAAAAACCAACAAATATCGTCACACTAACAATAACATCAACAACGGTGACTTCACCAAAACCTGGTGCTGATTCCATGTCACAAAGAACCTAAAAAACCTAAACAAGCCAAAGAAGAGAAAAAACATTTAGCGAACACGGGAATATAACAAAGAAAGAAAAAAAACAAACAAAACAAAACTACTCACCAAGAGCGCTGATTCCAGCCCGACAAAATCTAAACAAGCCAAAGAAGAAAAAAAAATAGGTAGTAAATATTCAAAAAAAATAAAGAAAAAAAGAAAAACTAACTACTCACCAAGAGCTACGTCTGTGCAATTCCCAGATCCAACAAAGACAAGACAAGCCCTGCATGAAGAAAAAATATCTAAAAAATTGAAAAAAGATTAGTAAAGAACTAAAAACATCAAAACCAAATCTACAGTGAAAAAACACACATAACCACTTATAAGAATGCCAGAAAAGAATGCAAAGCCATTCCACAAAAACGCTGAAGAAACACATAAGTTTATAAGAATGCCAGAGAAATCCCACAAAAAAGTTGGGATGCACACAAGACCACCCCACAGGAACATTCTGCAAGACCACCCTACAAGTTACCAGCGATGCAAAATCAATTCACGAAATCTAACGGCAGCACCAAACCAACGACGACAACAATACTAGCGATAACAATGACACCAATGATGACACCAGCGACGACAAGATACCAGTGACTACAAGGCACTAGCGACAACAAGACACCAACGACATCAACAGCAAAAAGCGGCAAGCTAAAAAAAAATAAATAACAAGCGAAAAAAAATTAATAACAAGCGAAAAAAAAAACAAAATACGGTAATAAAAAAAAAAAAAACAATGATTATCAATTTTTGATAATCATTGTTTATATAGAGGAGTGCGGGATGAACTGAACCGACCTCTGATCCGGCATCAGTATGCCAGGTGGGAGATGCCTATAATTTCCCATTATATTTTATAAGAGTTTGGGTCTTATAGCTTATTGGTTAAGCTCTCAAACCTGCAGACAAGGTCAACGGTTCAAGTCAGGCTAAAAGCAAATTGAATAATTTGTTTCTATAATCTTCGGAGTCTATAATTGAATATGAAGTCTTGTAGCTAAGTTCAAATGCAGATATAAAGCTGAAATAGGAATTACCAAAAAGAGACCTAAATATAGAGCATTGGCATTATGTATAACTACAGTATTACAGAAAACTGCAGCTATAAAAATTATGCAAATAAGTCTTTCAGAGACAGGGTAACACCAATATCCTTATATCTTCAGGTTTAGCAATACCAATATCTCTATATTCAACTTGTGGGGTACTTGCTTGGAAGGGTAGTCAACAAATTGTGCAAATAAGTCCTTATCTGGAAAAGAAGATACGGGTACTTGCTTGAGAGGGTGATTGATATAACCAAAGTTGGAAGTAGTAAGAAAAGTAGTGAACATATAGATAGTCTGTAGTAAAGAATTGGCCTTATCAGAATTAGAAGCATCTCTGGCAAAGCAGAATGAAGATACTATAGAAGGCAAAGATTATGGAGGTTGTCTGATATTCTGTGTATATATAAAGATACCAAATCAGACTTCGGTCATACCTATATAGAAGTCTATGATAAACAAGTTTAAGATTTACCAACTTCTGGGTTTACAATAACAAATAGTAGTACAGCATTACTGGAGTCAGTGTAACTCTCTAGAAATAATTAAAATTGTCCTGATATTATATAACAACATGCTGGGAGCAAGCATTATATAGTAGTATAGCATTACTAGGGTTAGTGAACTTCCTGGATATATCTAAATTTACTATAGCAGGTAGTACTTAGAAGAACTGATGAAGATGCTAAGTAATTGTATAATATTAAGACCTAGAGCATCTGTGGTTGAGCTGTAGCAGCAGAGACTGGCTTGAAATATAGGTTAGTAGTATATAGACAGATAAGTAGTAGAGATTATCTAATAATAAAATACTAATACTGTCATATAGTAAACCTAACTAGGTAGCAGTTTCTGGCTTGAGATATGAGTTCTTGCAGATTCTGAACCAATGTCAGAATACTTTAGAGAAAACAATAATATGACACACCAAACTGGGAGATTATAAAGATCTATAATCAAAATGTTACCAATTTGAGAATTATACAGAAGCAAGGTGATAGAAGCAAGAAACATAAACTTAGCTAGATATAGTAGTTTCAGAATGCAGAAGTAGCATCAGTACGAGTATGATTCTCCTCCACCAGCTCAGTGGTTTAATGATAATGCTTCTTTAAAGTTGGGAGGTACTTTAACTGCAAGTATTGGCCTTAGTCATAGCACACTAGTGGTGCAACTAGAATATGTTTGGGCACCTATAAGGGTAGCTAAATAAATGTCAGATAGCTGATTGAATTAGTATAGTCTAGTATTAGATTGTAATATAGTTCAAAAATTATATATATACTTATGAGTATATCTAATAAAGGCTTTATTAGCTTTCTTAGCCAAGTTTAAAAAAAAAAAAAAAAATATATATATATTTTATAATAAATATAAACTAAAATTTTAAAATATTTTATAATAGTATCTATCTAATATACAAAAATTTGCTACAGATTTTTAATAATAAATAAATATTGAATTTAACTAATTGGATACCTGGTGTTTGAAACACAGATTCTGTATAATATGTAAATCAAATTAATTTTTATCAAAATAAACAAATAAATAAAATATAATTTAGCTAATATTAGGATTAGTATTGGGAACTAATATTGAAGCAGGTTATAGTTTATACCAAAATTTTGCAAGAAATTTTTTTTTTAAAGCCCCAAGAATGGTTTCATATACAAAATTTTGAGATATCATTGATTTTTTGTTTTTTTGCTTTATTTTTGTTGTACAAAAAATTGATTTACAATATACATTTAATCAAATATTTTGATTGGCTTTTCTATTTGTTTGTGTAACCAAGTGTCAATACACCTAGTGTCCAAATAGAAATTGTCATAAATATTTTATATTTTATTTCTATTTTAATTCCTTTTTTATAATGGTATCAAATATTATATATTCTACTAGTATATTTAATTTTGAAGATTTTTTTTTTTTTTTTAAGGTGAGGTTTTGTCTTTATCTTTATTAATAATTTGTATTAAGAATTCACTAGAGGTTTCTCTGGTCATTAAGATCAATAATTACAAATTTTTTACAAGAATAAGACTTAGACTAATTTATCTGTAATCTAAATCTACTAGAGTAGTTAAAAACTCATCTAGATTCTATAATTTATAATATTATTAGTAGATGTGCTATATTTTATTCAAGAAATTAACCATGTAGATATTTTTTTTATTGC